CTCCAAAGTAGAACTTTCAAAACCTAACCTAATGAAGTTTCAGCTACTGGTTATTATACGTTTGGGATAAAACAGTGAAAAACCAAGCGTAACCTTCTGATCATGAAACACGACTTAACTGCACTTTTTATTTCCAAAGATCAGTCAATTACCTGATCGTTGAAAATCTCCCATATTTCTGGATTTCTTTTAAAGGGCCTGTGAAGTGAATATTTTTTAGGAACGTATTTTGTGCAACTTTCTAATCCTCTTAAATGTATGAAAACTATTTGACATCCCTGTTTGATTATTTTTATTGAAAAGTGCACTTCTTTACACATTTAAAAATGTCCATTCTTTTCCAGACAACTGAGGGCGTTGTTGCTGTTATGTCATTTTAGGAATACACTGTTCATATTGGTTTGGTTTATTTTAATCCATTATCGCAGTTAAAAACTGAATTGCAATGGATTTAACAAAATAATAAATTATTTAACACCAAATCAACAAATTATTTGACAACAATCACCATTACAATTTACACACACTAACAAAAAACCATTAAAACACGAACAATGACTTTTACAGTTCACGTGTACAAAGCATACTGTTAAAAACATGTCCATTGCAATTTACATATAGAAAAATTAAAATTATTATTATTGGTTATGCAATCTGATTAAGGTAGGAAGCGCACATAACGTTTTGTTCGGCAACGGATTTCAGGGATGGATGGTTTATTCCGCAGCATTCTAGTATGTTGAGGCGGAAAGAATTCACGAAAAAGATCAGTGTGTTTAAGGGTTTTGTTGAAAAAGGATAATGATATTTGATTACGTCTGTTTGCCAAAGAATCTAAGCTGAAATGCGATAAAGCTTGGGTGTGTGACAAATACTCGACCCTAAGAATAATCTTCAAGGCACGTTTCTGTACTTTTTCAAGCCGAGTCACCTGATGCTGGGTAAGTGCTCCGTTCCACACAGGGGCTGCATACTCCATCAATGGTCTGATGAAGCTTTTATAGAGGGTTATGAGATCACTGTGAGGCAAATCGTAACTTTTGAGAACCCTTAACATGTGGATTTTACCACTAGCACGTTTGACAATGCTGTCCACATTTTTGTCCCATTTGAGATCACTTTGGATAGTAACCCCCAAAACCTTGATATGTGATGTAATACAGAGTTCATAATCATCAACAGAAATAACAGGCATTACAGGGCTATTTCTAGAGAAATCAATATTCATTTGAAAGCACTTACTAGGATTTAATTTCATGCTATTTTGCATAGACCAATTTGTTAGGCTGTCGATGGCGTCCTGCAAGCAAGAATTCTGCGAAGATGGTCTACACTCAACAATCGATAAATCATCAACATATTTGAACACGGCCAGGTTATCACCCCCAAGTCTGACATCATTAATCATAACTAAAAATAAAATAGGGCCAAGTTTGGTTCCCTGAGGGACTCCAGCATTTAAGGTCAACCAACTGGAACATATTGAGTGGTAACGAACACACTGTTCTCTAGCGGTTAAGAAGTCAGCTATCCATGGAATGATAGAAGGGCGCACTTCCAAATGGATTAACTTATTCAACACTATTGTGTGATTAATCCTATCAAATGCTTTTGAAAAATCTGTGGTAGTCACAGTAGCAACCGATCTTGATTTATCAGCATTTCGATACAAAAGGTGAAGCATATTGAACAAATAATGATTTGTGGAGAAATATTTGCGGTTTCCAAACTGGGCAGGATCCAACCTGGGGCCAATGTCCTCCAACAACCACTTTGCAATAAATCCCTCCGCAACCTTTGCGAAGTGGTTAGTGAGAGATATCGGTCTTAACTTGTCAACAGAGGGTGGGCTGGACTTGGGTATGGGTATCACAATAGCTCGTTTCCAATCTTCGGGCACTCTTCCTTGTTGGAAGGATTTATTCAAAATATGAGTAAGGGGAGTAGCGAGTTCGATGGCAAAATGATTAATAAACCGTGCAGTAATATTGTCAGGCCCACCAGCTGTAGACAGTTTAATAGTTTGGAGCGACTTATAAACATCCCATGGATACAAATACGGGCAAGGTTGGGAAGAGGGTAAATATGCTGGGAGTCTACTAAGGTCAACACAATCCATATCTGATGCAACTGATACAAAATGTTCATTAATAGTAGATGCTATCATGAACGCATTATCTGGATCAACTCCTGGAATATACACTGACGGATGGTCTTTGTCATTACCAGTAAGCATGCGAATTCGGTGAAACCAAGCCGATGGTTTACTCTGTTTGAGTTTTGCAACCCGAGTGGCATAATACTGTTTCTTTGCCACGGCTATACCTGCTATAATCTTCGTCCGCAATCTTCTCCAGGAGACCATATCATTACAATGAAAAGCTACCTGTCGTGCTTTAATTAACCTTTTGATTTGTGGAGTCATCCAGGGTTTATCAGTAGTATGAATTTTGACTCTTTTAACCGGAAAATATAAATCAATCTTTGTGTTCAAGGTCTCAATAAACTTTTCATATTTTGTGTCAATATTAGTGTGATCTAACTCTTGAGCCCAGTCATAATTACTTATCCACATTCCAAAGGAACGCTTGGCACTCTCGGGCATAGGACGCCTCGAACACAATTTGCTTGCATTTTTAATTCGAGGATTATACACTGGGGTCCAAAGTACAGTGTTATGGTCTGACATGCCAACTGGTGATGTGATTTGGGGTATCGCATACTTATCACTCATATTCGTAATAAGCGTATCAAGAATACTATTACCTCTAGTTGGTTGGTCCACAACTTGTTGAAAATGCTGATATTAGGTGTTTTCTGTTCAAATTGTGAAAGCAAACATTTGTTCATTTAAAACATTTGTGAGAAACATGTGTTCATAGGCTAACTGCCATGTACTGACACAACAACAAAACACTAAAAGAAAAGAACAGTTAGGACAGCGAAATATTCAAAATTCGGGCAAATTTTGGTGCTGAAACTGCAGCTGTATTACATTGATGTTTCTGCATGAAATGACATCACGGTTTTGCTCATGAATATGGAAATTCACATTAGCATAAAACCCCAAAAGGCACCAAAATACCCTTAAAAATGGCAAACCGAAAATTAAAAATAGCGATGAAGGGAACATAAAAGGTGCGTTTGCTAGGATTGCATTAAAAAAATTACATTGCATGGACCCCTTACATGACAGCAAGCCAGACGGCATATTTTCACGGGTGTTTCGTATACAGTACGTACCAAGTGAGCTTAATGATAATAATTCGGCAGGTTACGTTTTGGATAAATGCAAATGATCCTATCATTATACCTTTAACTATCCATCCATTGATTACATCTTTAAAAACTCAAGCAATAAAACAAAAACTAAGTCAGCAATAATTTGCCGTTTAAGGTATATGACAAGTTACAAACTAAATTTACGCCAGGGCGTGAGCTCTAACTCAGCAAGCATGCAGTAGTACGACTGAACGAGGATCCAAAACAATAGTTTTTTTTTTTTACAATTGCACATAAGACTGCTTTTGATTTCCACAACAAATACGGCTAAATGTTTGAATGACGTACAATTATCATACGAATGTTAGTAGACTGTGATGCACGGCAATGTTCTACTATTTGACAAACAGGCCGTAAAAGAAAAAAGTTTCATTTAAATTCAATGAAAATTGAGTCAGTCACAAAAGTTGAATCTATACTTAGTCGAAATATGTTTACATTACAAGAATATATGACAAATGAATCATTAAAGCTACATTCACTCATTTAAAGTGATGTTATGATAAAAATTTACAATGTAGGCAATTCAAATTTAAAGTTAAAGAATCACAATTGAATCATAAATATAACTTTAAGTCAAACACTTTATTTTTTGAAGGGAATAACCAGTCTAGTGAGTTTATTAAAAATCTTCTACTTTTTCGAGTGCAACAACCAAAACTTTAAAGGATAAATCGAGAAAAATCCGACGTCTTTTCCAAATACAAATATTAACGTCTTTAGATAAATATCTTCCTTTTTTTGACATGCTTAATTACAATTATAAGGTAAACTGAATAGAAACATGGCATGTTTTTTTCCCTATGACCTATCGCGTGAAAAAAATCCCTCCCGTGCTACTGTCTTGATTCAATCAAAATGCAGCATAAATATCGAAACAGATTATTAATGAGACAAAATGTTCACCTAAATCAACATCCCAACGCTTCCGTAGTCCAATACAGGGTGAGTAAAAATAAAAGGAAACCCAAATGTCGGGACTATTTTTGTAAGTTCTGCATGAAGCATATTATAATGAAGTTCTGTCCACTGATCAAAAAAACAACAACCGTGTGTGCTCTTCCAGTAAAACGGAAACAATTTACACACCTGTGAATTGTTTTCGTTTTGCTGAAAAAACACTTACCTTTTATACCAGTGATCCGTGGACAGAACTTTAAAACGGTAGTTGTGTTTAAAATTCCGTAATTTAAAAAGTACATGAGTGATTTGAATGATTTTTGTACTAACAGAAAGCTTTTTAATAGGGTTTTCATATCCTAGATTTTGAAAGTGCTACATGCAGAACTTCATTAAAAAAATGGTCCTGACATTTGGGTTTCCATTTCTTGACTCACCCTGTATACATGTTTGTATATCCATTTAATCTATACATTTTGGCCGTGACTCGTAACTTTAATAATTCGGGAGTTTTCATTTGTGAAATGTTGATGAAAACATCAGACAAGCCAGCTTTCGGCCTACCTTGGAAATTGAGCGCGGATCTGCTAAGTCAGCACATCGCAGCTGTCCAAGTTTCTTGTCGGGCTCATGGGGCCATCATTTCCATAATTGCAATTTTGATATCAGGATCAGTAACCTGCAAGTGGCAGGCGTGGAACCGGTTTGTGTGAAACAATTTACTTCGTGATACAGAAATGTTCATTGGAATGAACCGAGTCTACACCGTAATGTCATTGTCCATTGTTATTCACTGGATGTCCCATCTCGCTTAAGTTTCACGGTAAGTCGCTGACGAAGCGCCCGTTTGAATCGGCTGTCAGGCAGCGCACTCGAGGAGTATCTTGCATCTCGCAGACGACGTACCTCCCTATGTTTGGCATGCAGTTGATACTTCTCCATGTCCCGTTGCCTTCCTGCCACAACACGACGCACTGACGATCTTCTTGTTTGGGATAACTCGTTGCCCAGTTGGTGAAGCTCATTCCCTCAGTATTCCCGCGGCAAACGAAGCTTGCGTTAACGGGCTCACGTTTGCAGCCGATCCAGACCCCGCGTTTGTCCACGGTCCGAAATCGTTCCATCACCATCCGCCATAAGAAATCGTTCTCGGCCTGTGAATTCGGCACGACAAGATGGCTATGTTTACTCTCGCAAAACTCTGATGCATCTGCCCAGCTCATCTCGTCGAAGTACATCGCGTAGCATGACTGATGCCAGTTCTTCCAGCCCGGAGGGCAGAGAGCTGACAAGAACGAAAAACCTCCCAAGGCGAACAGAAATACAACGAAAATATCACGAAGAGCTGCCATTTTGAAGTTATTAGATCATACAGTTGAGATTTGTAAACATGCGTAATATCTCCTAGATGCAGCAGTTTGCCTGCGTTAATCAATTGTCTCCCGAGTATAATGTACTTTGTCAATGCACACTTAGATTGATATGCCTCAGAGCTGCTAGTCCCAACTGCATTGTGAGGCCAGCAGTACGGAGTTGTTTTTTAATATGGACGTCATTTCTTCGCATGACACCAATATGAAATTGCTCCTCCGGATGATTTGCTATAGTTATGCGTTTTCATGGCAACCTTATTTGCATCTATAGGGAGAGCAGAGCATATTCTTCCTTAATGCGATTGGTTTTAAATTAATGGCGGTTTGGGCTCGGTAGTTAACTCTGCAGAGACCTTGACGTTTTGGATAATAATGAGATACTCGTACAGCGTTTCGCACCAAGGCTTCGCATTTGATTAGCCTGGTCATCAGACCATGAGACCATTGTTCTAGTAGCAGGAGATCAGCGTAATTTATTCTCTACCTTCGTAGGTACTAATTTATACTATAAATTTACCAATTGATGGTAAGGAGAGAGGGAGAAAGAGACAATTGTAGTAAAGTGTCTTGCCCAGAGACTTGACACAAACACCATGTTCACGTCGGGGTACGAATTAACGCAAGTAGGTTGAATACCATAACCTTTGAACCACTTTGCTCCATTTGTTTCATTGTTTTTCTTGTTGGAGTTGCTGTAACCTGAGTGGTTTTTTGCATTGTCCACGGGAAATGTGCAGACAAAACAGCATTGACAATACATCTTTAATCGGAACCGATTTAGTGAATTCTACAAAATCATATATAGGTGCCAAGAAAACAATACCCGAACGGCTGCATCGATCAGCGTATCCATCCGCAGGTTGATGACAAACAAAATTGAGCGGTGATTTAGCCTATATACTTTCGAATCGGAGCGAGGTTCCATTAAGAAGGCGTGTTGAAATTGTCCAAGTTTCATGTTGAGTCTTAGGGAGTCCGTTGGAATTTCACGCTTAACTACACCAAAACAGAGTAATTAACGAGAGTTCAACGTACGTGTAATACCACATTTGCTATATGAAGACCAAGTCAGTAACCTGCAGGAAGCCTGTCGTGCCGGGATGACTTAATTTGTGGTAAAGGAATTAAGTTCGAGATGTCGAGCATCCAAATTGTGTCTACTTCGTACATTGTGTCGTCTAGTTGTTCACTTGCGATGTCCAATGCACTTCGATGAATTGTTCACGGTAGGTCAGTGACGAAGCGCCCGTTTGCGTCGGCCGCCAAGCAGTGCACGCGAGGAGCATCCGGCATCGCGCAGACGACGTACTTGCGAAGCTCGCAGCCGTACGATTTCCATGTTCCGTTGCCTCCCTTCGACAGCACGACGCACTGTCGAGCTCCTTGTTCTGGAAAACCCGTTGCCCAGTTGGTGAAGCTCATTCCCTCGGTGTTCCCAGTGCATTCAAAGCTCGAATCAGCGGACTCGCGTTTGCAGCCGATCAAGACCCCGCGTTCTTCGGCAGTCTCATATCGTTCCATCACCATCCGCCAGAGGAAATCGTTCTCGGCCTGTGAATTCGGCACGACAAGGTGGCTGTGTTTACCGTCGCAGGACTTTGAAGCATCCACCCAGCTTATTCGATCGAAGTAAATTGCGTAGCATGACTGATGCCAGTTCTTCCAGCCCGGAGGGCAGAGAGCTGACAAGGTCGATAAACCTCCCCAGACGAACATAAGTAAAATCAAACTATCAAATATAGACGCCATTTTGAAGTTGTCTAGACACACAGTTTAGAAACGTATGTGGAAAGTATCTACTACTCGATCAAACGGTTTGAATGGCTTAATACCAGACAGGATCTAATAGTTATCCTGAGTATGAACTTTGCACAACCGTTTCTTAAAGCAAACTTTGGTTGGTATGCCTCAGATCTTTTAACACCAACTGCATGTGATGCAAGTACCATGCATGTTGTTGAATATACGGCCTGACTTGTTAGGCGTCATTGTTAGACCGCATCACACACATCCATGGAAGTACCCTTCGAGTTATAACTTTGGCCATGGCGTCTGCATTTTCATGAAAAACCGTGTTTATTTCTAAGGGAACAGAACGTCAGATTTCCTCAGTATGAAGGATTTTATATTGATGGCATTTAGAGTCGATACTCCATAGAGACCTCGACGTTTTGGATTATTGGAAACTTACATCCTTCAATCGCCCATCTCATGATGTGATATCCATTACATCCTTCAATCGCCCATCTCATGATGTGATATCCATTAGAAACAGTATCCACGTGTTACATACCGTGAAATAAAGGCCAAGCCTATGTTCTCTTGGCCACTTTGATTAAAGAGACTAATGCATATCATAATATATCTGGCACATTTATTTTTGTCTTGCTCTATGCACACATTATGCTACGTTCATATGCATTCTGGCAATGTGACTGTTTCCTTTAATTTGGAAAGTATTTATTGAAAGGCAGCTAACAGAGACGGATATCCAATACATTTATTGGATATCCAGCTCACACGGTTGAAGTAGATGGCGTAGCGTGACTGGTTCCAGTTCTTCCAGCTGGGAGGGCAGGCAGATCCTTGTGAGAACGCAGCCTGAAGTAATTTGTCGCACCGAGATGCAATTGTAGTATTGATTTCGCTTTTGTATATCAAATATCGTAAAGGTGTAATACTTTCAGTGTTTGGTACCAATGTTAGGAGTTCGCGTCGCCGCTTATTGTTAAATTGCTCGGCCGTACTAACTAGATAGGATTTTACTAAGTATGGTAGTACTAATTCTTCACATGTGACGTTTTGCTTCCAACTTACTTCCGGATAATGGCGTCAGCACGTGCAATGGCGCATTATGGAATCGACGCACATGTTTTTTTGTTGAATGAATGAGCCTCCCAAGTGTAAGGCCGGATAAAACACACAAGCTTTGTAATGGTCTTTGTCCCAAAGTTTTAATTGCCCACCGCTCAACGAGCTTAACGAGGGACAAATTGCGAATGGAGCTTATGGTTGAAATTGGTGCAGTCAACGAGACATAAAAATAATGACTGTGACCACGTGCTTGTCCAGGTACACATTCAGAATGCATCTGTTACCTTGACTGGGGTTTTGAGCACTCTCCAGCTCAAAGTAGGCCTAAAGCAATTCTAATTGGTACACAATACGATGACTTCGGAGGATCAATCTTCACGGCAAGTCCTTAACAAAGCGCCCGTTTTCGTCGGCTGTCAGGCAGTACACACGAGGAGTGTTCGGCATCTCGCAGACGACGTACCTCTCTTTGTTTGCCATGCAGTTGCTACTTCTCCATGTTCCGTTGCCTCCCTTCCACAACACGACGCACTGACGAACTTCTTGTTTGGGATAACCCGGGGCCCAGTTGGTGAAGCTCATACCCTCAGTATTCCCGGAGCAAACGAAGCTTCCGTGAACCGACTCACGTTTGCAGCCGATCCAAACCCCGCGTTTTTTCGCGGTCTGAAATCGTTCCATGACCATCTGCCTTAAGAAATCGTTCTCGGCCTGTGAATTTGGCACAACCAGGTGGCCTTGTTTACTCTCGCAGAATTTTGAAGCATCTGCCCAGCTCGAAGCACGATGTGAGTAAATCGCGTAGCATGACTGATGCCAGTCCTTCCAGCCGGGAGGGCAGAGAGCTGACAAGGTCGAAAAACCTCCCAAGGCGAACAGAAATACAACCAAAATATCACGAAGAGCTGCCATTCTTAGAATATTCATACAGTTATGCAAGGGAAGTAACTCCTACTTCAATGCAGCGATTTGATTGCCTTAACAATGATGAAAGATCCGCAGACAGTAGTATTATCGTCAAGTTGGTTCATTCTCATACCATGTAGTAATACCAAGCAGCTACTTGTACCAACTATATACAGTCTGCCGATAGCTCGCCCACCGGAATCTTATAATGTCAAGATCACTTGTCGTTGGTGACGTGTGATGTGTTTGGCCCTGAATTTCTGCCGGATATTAGTTTGGCTTTGGCTTTGTGGGTTGTATTGTGATGGCATGACTACTTTCAATGTTGGACAGGCAGAGCGTGCCGTGGGTCACCTTGGAGGAGATCGGGTGGGTACTCAATTAGCTTTCATTTTCTTTCTTATCCCATCAAAATAAGGCTGGTAATTTATTGCCGTAACACTTTTGAAACTGATGTTTCGCCAGCCGTGGATTAGGCCTATTGGAAAATTTCAACCTTGAGTCGCCCATCTCATATACGTGAAATGCATTAAAAACAGTATTGACGTGTAACTTACAACTACATAGCCTCTAGATATTCTTAAGCCCAGTTTTGCTTAGAGAAACCATAAGCCTACCATATTTTATGGCACACCTATTTTTGTATTGCTTTACCATACATGCTTCGTACGCATGACATCTGACAATGTTCATTTGCTCTTATATTTGGAAAAGTATTCATTGTATAGTAAAGCTGTCAAAAGAGACGTACATTGTATAATCCAATACATATTCGTTTGGCAATACGTCATTGTAGAGCAAACGATACATATTAACTTCAAAGATAAAAAGGCAGATTTTTTTGTTTGTCCCCCGTGTTTAACCATTCCTGTGCTTAGTGGGTGAAGGTGGCTCAGTATGGCTAACACGTGAAATAAAACACGCTCTTTTTGTTCTCGGAAACCATCCGAAATACGATACAGTATCGATCGACTCCTTTCATGTCAAGCTTTAAAACATTTTTATTTCTTCAACAGCAGCGAAACAATTCAACATGTAAAGGCCGTACGTCAGGAGGAGTTTTCGCGCTGCAAATTCGCAAATTTTGAACACATTTCAACTCCTGCGAATTTTTGCAGCGATTGCTTCGTGATAATAAATTAGCATTGCATTCGCATTCCCATTAACTATGAATCGGCCTCACCTCGCAGCGATTTTTTCCCCCTGAAAACGAAGAAATTAGAACATTGTTTTCTGCATTGTTACAGTAACTTCTATACGTAATATTTAGTGAAGAATGAAAGTGGTTTAATAATTTAATACAATATTTCAATCAATTACAATAATCTTTCAACAACTCTTTGATGCAGTATAGTCCTAATCAGCTCAACACAAGAAGGTCTTTATCTTTATAGAATCACGATTCCTAACCAAACGTTTCTTAAGAAAGCTTTAAAAACACATTTTTTTTGCAAAATACATTTTCCAGAGTGTCTTGAAAGAATCTTGATTTGAACATTTTCTAAAATCACGTTATTTTACTTTTAAAACAGCAGGAAACCCGTTTCTTATATTTAAAAAAACAATCCGTTGTTTAGAGCATTTGAAATTGTATTGTCTACACCCCAAAACAGATTGGTGGAAGTAACCAATATTGATTAATATGTGTCCTACCAACCCGATTGGTTGAACACATTATTAACCAATATGTGGCTGTTTCAACCAATGATTGGTTATGTCAACCAATCTGCTATCAATCCATTTGACAAGAGATGTTAGTCAAAATTAAACAAAATCTTAAATATTTCTTTCACAGTATGTAGTCACCGAAAGCAAAACCGCCCCACCCAAAACTGAATTGAAGACAATAGGATCACTTGCGTTTCATGCATTTTGTTCGTTTCCAATAATAACACCACTCAAACTCTAAAGACGTTTCCAATAATAACACCACTCAAACTCCAAAGTAGAACTTTCAAAACCTAACCTAATGAAGTTTCAGCTACTGGTTATTATACGTTTGGGATAAAACAGTGAAAAACCAAGCGTAACCTTCTGATCATGAAACACGACTTAAATGCACTTTGTATTTCCAAAGATCAGTCAATTACCTGATCGTTGAAAATCTCCCATATTTCTGGATTTCTTTTAAAGGGCCTTTGAAGTGAATATTTTTTAGGAACGTATTTTGTGCAACTTTCTAATCCTCTTAAATGTATGAAAACTATGTGACATCCCTTTTTGATGTATTATGTATTGAAAAGTGCACTTCTTTTCACATTTAAACATGTCCAATCTTTTCCGGACAACTGAGGGTGATGTTGCTGTAAAGTCATAAAGACACTGTTCATTTTACTAGGTGTTTTCTATTCAAATTGTGAACCCAAACATTTCTTCATTGAAAACATATGTGAGAAAAGTGTGGAATACTGCCATGTACTGACACAACAACAAATCACTTAAAGAAAAGAAAATTTAGGACAGCGAAATATCCAAAACTCTAGCAATTTTTGGTGCTGAAACTATAGTTGTAACATTGAGGTTTCTGCCTGAAATGACATCACAGCTTTGCTCATGAATATGGACATTGAAACCGAACATTGAAACAAGGGATAAAGGGAACACAAAAGTGCATTAGGATTTCATTAAAAATTACATTGCATGGGCCCCTTACGTGACAGCAAGCCAGACGGAATATTTTCACAGGTGTTTAGTGTACAGTACACGTACTTTAATCCAAGAGAGATTTATGATAATAATTCGGTAGGTTATACTTTGGACTAAATAATGCTATCATTATACCTTTAACTATCCATTCATAGATTACACCTTTAAAAACTCCAGCAATTATTAAACAAAAAGTAAGTCGGCAATAATTTGCCGTTTAAGGTATATGACAAGCTTCACACTAAATTTACGCCAGGGCGTGAGCTCTAACTCAGCAACCATGCAGTAGTACGACTGAACGAGGATCCACAACAATATTTTTGTTACAATTGCACATTACAGCAAAAAAAAAGAAGTTTTGTTGCCCTCATCCGACCGACCCAACAATCTGGAAATCTCCGGTCAACTTTAATTATTTATTTATTTTTTTTTTTTGGAGGGGGGGGGGGGAAATGCCATTTATTCTGTACTTCGTTACAAACACGTTAATTTCACCGTGTACGTGTAACGGATGATGCGTGTTTGTAAAGACCTGGGGCATCGTACACGTACACCAAAAAAATGTGCACATGCACTGTTCACGTATGTACAATGTATCGCATCGCATGGGTGGGAGTGTTCATCTATACAAACTGTGGGCGGAAAAGAAACCAGAGAACAAACGAGAATATCGTCCACGATTCCCAGCATTATACGTCCGCGATTGGGGTCGTGTACAAAACCTATGGGAATATTCCTTTAAAAAAATGGTACAAACAAAAGAGGGACAATAGGACGTCCACGATCGATGGTGTGAACACGACTGTATGAGTTGGTGCATGCATGCAGTACACGTATTTTAACAGATGCATACAACGTTTCGTGTACGAGCCGAGTTGGTAGAGCGGAACTGGTAACTGAATCGAATTCTTTACAGAATATTAGTCACAATGATCACGTAAGCTTCAATTAAGTAGGAGACGTCGAATGAAAATTAAAAAAAAAAAAATTAAAAGAAATATCATGACTTAACGACGAAAAAAAAATGTGTACTCGAACAATTATGTGTACACACCCCGTCAAAAAAAAAAATAAAAAATAACCTCTTCGACCGACCGCCTACTCCTGTTTTTTTTATGTGAGGGCAACAAAACAATTTCTTTGGCCTAAGACTCAGTGCTTTTAATTTCCACAACGATACGGCTAAATGTTTGAACAACGTACAATTATCATGTTAGTAAACGACTTTGATGCACAGCAACGTTCTATTTGACAGGCAGGTCGTAAAAGAAAACAAGTTCCATTTAAATTCAATGAAATTTGAGTCAGTCACATTAGTTGAATCCATACTTAGTCTGAAACATTTACGGTAAGTCGGTGACGAAGCGCCCGTTTGCGTCGGCCGTCAAGCAGTGCACGCGAGGAGCATCCGGCATCTCGCATACGAAATACTTGCGAAGCTTGCAGCTGTATGATACCCATGTTCCGTTGCCTGCCTTCGACAACACGACGCACTGTCGAGCTCCTTGTTCGGGATTACCCGGTGCCCAGTTGGTGAAGCTCATTCCCTCGGTGTTCCCAGCGCACTCAAAGCTCGAATCAGCGGACTCGCGTTTGCAGCCGATCCAGACCCCGCGTTCTTCGACAGTCTCATATCGTTCCATCACGATCCGCAGCAAGAAATCGTTCTCGTCCTGTGAGTTCGGCACGACAAGGTGGCTTTGTTTACCGTCGCAGAACTTTGAAGCATCTGCCCAGCTCATACGATCAAAGTACATCGCGTAGCATGACTTTTGCCATTCCTTCCAGCCAAGAGGGCAGAGAGCTGACAAGGTCGAAAAACCTCCCCAGACGATCAGAAGTAAAATCAAACTATCAAATATAGATGCCATTTTGAAGTAGTTAAATCACAGAATTGAGGTTCGTGTACATGGAAAGTATCTCCTACTAACAGTTTGATTGTCTTAATACGAGACAAGATTAAAATGTTCTCCCGAGTATAATCATGGAGGTAGAATTGGACTTTGCAGAACACGAGATAATGGTAGACGCTGCATATGAGATGTCTGAACAACGTTGGTGATGTGAATGAGTGAAGCTCGATAAGCCACGACTTCAATGCCGATTCAAGGACAGTCAACTGTGTTCTTCCAATGTGAGACCAGATAGAACGCAGATGTCCCGATAGGCCTATACGCAAACCGGTAATGGTGGTCATTAAAAAGGCATTAAAAGTGCTGTCACCCTTGCTAACGAGTTTTAAGAGGAGGATCCGTTGAAGCGACAGGGAGTCGGAGGTTGTATAAGTATTACTGAGGTATGGTATCTCTTTCTGCAACACGTTATCTGTTGTTTGCTTGTTACGCCTATGGAGAAACACTACTTAGTACAACTACAAGATCTATATTTATATTAGTTTGCTTTATATTATACTGTATAATATGTTATTAGATTGATTGATATAAACAAATAATTAAAAATGGTATTCATATTAATTTACATCCAATTAACGTTCTCGACAGTAGATCAGATGTTCATTAGCCTGCAAGAGTAGTAGTCGATGTAAGAAATAGTGAAGGGTATTTAGAAAACTTATATAACTTTGAGAAAGAAAACTACATGAATAACCTTTGCCGAAGTCATCAGTGGGAATTTCAAATGCCTATGAATTTTTTACTTTAAAAGAAATAAAGGGATTCGTAATAGACCATGTTAACGAGCAATTCAGCCGTTTCTCTCCAACTCTTGCACTGCGTTCGTCTACTTCCCCCACGCTTACTCGTGCAAGCGCGACAGCGTTCGATTTACCTCTCATGGGACTTCTCGCGCTTACTTGAGCTTGGCCAAAGAAACCGACCGACTCGCCGAGCCGTCTATTTGGGTAAGTATCCCATAAGGCCATGCAATAAACATGGCTGCCAACGTGACGTCCGGCGGGCGCCTCAGACCGGCCGTGTCCAAAACGGGCTTCCAGAGCTACGGCTATACGTCTATATTGTCGGCGTGTCCCCGCGTATTCTCAATGGGCGTGGACATAGACCTAGCTCTAGACAGTTGATTCGGATGCAGCCTCAGTGTCATGTCAAAGTTCAACTTTCCAGCTCTTGCACGAAACTTTACCAGAAACTGTTCGTTTAGTTAGCTCCACTTCCCGATAAGCCACGCCTTCCCAGCCGATTCAATTACAGTCAACTGTGTTCTTCCAATTTCAGGGACGCAGATGTCTCAATAGGCCTATACTTTAACGGGTAATTGTAGTCATTAAGTCATTAAAAGTGCTGTCACCCTTGCTTAACGAGTTTTAAGAGGATCCATTGAAGCGACAGGAAGTCGGAGGTTGTAGGCATTACTGAGGTTTCTCTTTCTGCAGCATGTTATCTGTTGTTTGCCTGTTAGGCCTATACTTCATTATGGATAAACACTAATTTAGTACAATATCTATTTTTCTATTAGTTGGCTTTATATTAAACTTTATAAATATGTTATTAGATGGGTTGATATAAACAAATATAACTAGATTAATATTTGTACATCCACTTAACGTTCTCGACAGTAGATCAGATGTTCATTAGCCTGCAAGAGTAGTAGTCGATGTAAGAAATAGTGAAGGGTATTTAAAAAAAAACCTGATATAACTTTGAAAAAGAAAACTACATGAATAACCTTTGCCGAAGTCATCAGTTGGAAATTCAAATGTCTATGAGAGTTTCTCCTTTGAAGGACATTAGGGGATTCGTAATGGGTCATGTTAGCGAGCCATTCAGCCGTTTCTCTCCAACTCCAGATGTAATTCCAGGGGTACATACATCTTTATGGAGTACTTGCCATGTCGTTGTCCGTTGTGACTAGTCTTGTATACCATTGTGGTATTGATTCCGTTTTTGTATATCAAAAATCGTAAAGGTGTAATACTTTCAGCGTTTGGTACCAATGTTAGGAGTTCGCGTCGCCGCTTAGGCCTATTGTTTAATAGCTCGGTCGTATAAAACTTGATAGGATTTTAGTTAGTAGGCCTATATGGCAATACTAAGTCTTGGCAGTGACGTTTTCATTTCCAAAGTCACTCCGGATAGTGGCGTCGGCACGTGCAATATGGAGCTTTATGGAATCGACGCAATTGTTTTTGTTGAAAGCATGAGCTCGTCAATCTTGAAAAGCGACGGTCTCACTGATGTTGAACTACAGACAAATGAGACCGGACGAAACGCAGCTACACATGATATATGCTACAACCAGTCCCATCGCTCGACGAGTTTATAACGAGGGGCATACTGCGAATGGAGCTTGTGGTTTCAGTAGCATGACTGGTGGCGAATATACAAAGGGCATTTGAAACAATTTCTGGCTTCCTTGTGCACATCAAGGGCGGATCCAGAACACAATTTTTTTTGGGGGGGGGGCCAAAATTTTTTTGTGTCTCCCAAAAAATGGGTCAAAAAAATTACGGCGTGGGGTTCGGGGCCCTTGCCCCGAAATTTTTTTGGATTCTCGATGCTCTGTGGTGCGATCTGAGGCAATTTCTGACCACTTTAGCCAATGTTTTTTGAGGAAAAGATGGTGGTGTACTCATTGCCTGCCTTTTTTGCGACGTTTGGGGGGGGGCATGGCCCCCTTTGGCCCCCCCCCCTGGATCCACCCTTGGTGCACATAGGTCTCGACGGGGAGGGGTCACCTCGGCCCAAATGCGATACCCCAAATGAAGGATTAAGAACATTGTTCTTCTGTATTATACAGTAAGTACTACGTGATATATTTTTATGAAATATGATAATGAATGACGTAATATTTGAATCACTTACAATATTCTTTCAAGAGCATTTTTCAATGCTGTAAACCGCTCAGTATCAGGTCTTTCTTTTCAAAATTTCAAAAAATATTTTTGTAAGATAAAATCCAGAGGGTAGGCTACAACTCTGACATCTTTAATATACTTTTTCAAGAGGATTTTGAAAGAAACTCGATTTTGTTATTACTTTCTAAAACCACCTTATCTTGTTTTGAAAACACTTTTGTAAAAGGAAAAACCGTTTGTCATGTTTACAATTAAAAAAAAAAGGTTCAGTTAGCGAACGTTCGACATTGTATTGTCTATCAATCTTTTCTGCCAAGATATATTTGTAACAGTAAAACTAAATCTTAAATTTTGTTTTACAAAGTAGTCACAGAATACAAAGTCACCCCATACCTAACAGTTAAGGCATATTGGATCGCTTGCGTTTCATGCATTTTGTTCGTTTCCAATCATGCCACCACTCAAACTCCAGAGAAAAATGTTCAAAACCTAACCAGTTGAAGTTTCAGCTCACTGGATTTTACTCTTTTGTTCTCGAGAAAACAGTGAAAAATCATGCACGACATTTTGATCACGAAATACACTTTCGTTTATAGCAGTCTTCGGTTCCAAAGATCACTCAATAAACTGATCGTTGGAAACCACCTACTTTTTTGATTTCCTTTAAATGACATTAACCCAGACGGAATAATTTCAGTGTTCAGTACTACGTACTTTAATCCAAGTAAGCTTTTTGATATGAATTCGGTAGGTTACTTTTGGGATAAATGCAAATGATCCTATATGCCTTTTCAAAATTCAAAAACTAAGCCCAGCAATAATATGCAGTTTATCATGACAAATTTCATACTAAACTTACACAAAGGCGTGCCGTGAAACCTATTCAGCAACCTACCATACAATGATTTAAAGCTTCTTTTTTTTAACTATCGCTCATAAGGCTGTTTTTGATTTCCACAAAAATACAGCTTAATAATACATTTGAACAACGTACAGTTATCATGCAAATGTTAGTAGACGACTAATGATGCACAATGTTCTACTATTTGACAAGCAGGTCGTAAAAGCAAAAAGTGTTCAGTTAATTAAATGAAATTGAGTGAGAAAAAAACTGAATCTAAGTCTAAGTTCATTAACATTACAAGAATATCTGAAATACAAATCATTAAAGCCACATTCAGTAATTTATTCATCATTAAAAGCGATGTCGTGGTTAAATGTTTTATCGTAGGCTATTTAAAATTTAAATGTAAAGAATCACAATCGAATCATAAATATAAGTTTAGGTCAAATACGTTACTTTCTGATGGAAATATATCAATCTAGTAAATCTAATGAAAATCTTCTACTTTTTCGAGTGCGACAACCAAAACTATAGAGTGATAATACATCAAGAAAACTACGATGAAAAATCTTTTGAAAAATTAAATATCTCATTAAATATCTTCCTTTTGGACACGTTACTTTTCAAATTTAAAGTAAAATAAATAGAAACATGGCAGGGAATGTGGTTTTTTTCTGTAACCCATCGCATGAAAAATTCTCTACTATGCTGCTGTCTTGTTTAATCAAAATGCAGATTAAATATCAAAACAGATTTAGTAATTGAGTAACATGCAATTTACCAAGAAAAACAATTTCACAACGCTGCATTGTCCAATATATCCATATTATCCATCCTTAAGGACCGTCACTGGTAACTTTGATCCATTTATAATTCGGGAGGTGTTTTTTTTTAATGTTGTTGAAAAACATATCCAGCTTTTTGGCCTACCTTCAAAATGGATCGCGGGTCCACTAAGACGGCACATCGCAGTTGTCCATTTAGTCGAGTCACATAAACCTCATGAGTCTCATGCAAATTGAACACACGCTGGCCGATAAATGATGAAAAAGTCCAGGCTGGTACTATAGGAGGACATGGTGAAGGACAAATCTTCAAAACTCTGATAATCAGCAAAACGTGTTGACTGAAATATCTAGTTCCTTTCGAAACAGAACGCCAAATCCGCCTCCTCGCTTGCATGCTCTGGGTTTGTTTTTAAAAGCATGACCACAAAGGGTGAAGTCTACATTTTGCTTCACCGGATTCAGTTAACCCTTTTTTTTTGCAAAATACCCACGTTGTCAAAGTTGCTTTTGATAACGAAGTCCTGAAATTCTGTCGATTTGCTGCGAAGAGACCGCGCATTCAGCACGCAGAAACGTCTTTGGGATGTTGACCTTACCCAGGTTCTGATGAATTGGATGGGACCGTGGAGGTTCATATACAAAATCAGGGTGATAACTTTCTGTAGGTTTAGTATAGCCATCAATCACACAAATTGGCAGTCAATGTTTTTTTCTCTATACGAATACCAGCCCTTTAAGCACGTCGAGTACGTCGACGATGTGCTGTTGACTTAAGTGTTGTACATTATGCAGGGTTTTCTAGGAAGGGTAAGATTTGAGATTTCACGGCACATTGGAATGACAGTTTGCAATTGTGAAAAAAGTCATGATTTAGGCTGAGGAAAGCGTAAACGTGTTGGTAGTCGGTGCCTGGGCAGAGGAGGCCATACTATTATAAATGTTCTTTGAAGGAGACAATAGAATAATCAACGAGAGCAGCGTATTATTTTCACAATGATATCGCAATTTGCTGTCAGAATCAGTAACCTCCAACTGACAGGCATTGAAACCGTTTTTTATTATTTTTTGTTTTTTTGGTATGGAACGATTTACATCGTGATACAGAAACGCACATTGGAATGTCGCCAATTCAAATTGTGTTAACACCATATTGTGTGTCTGTGTTGATGTATTATTCACTTGGTGTCCCATCTCGCTAGATTGGTCTCCTTAAACTTCACGGTATGTCGGTGACGAAGCGCCCGTTTGAATCGGCCCTCAAGCAGTGCACGCGAGGAGTATTCGGCATCTCGCAGACGACATAATTGTAGAAGGGCGACCGTGCGCAATTGTTAGTTTTCCATGTTCCGAGGCCCTTCGACAACACAACGCACTGAGGATCTCCTTGTTCGGGATAACCCGGTGCCCAGTTGGTGAAGCTCATTCTCTCAGTATTCCCAGCGCATTCAAAGCTCGAATTAGCAGACTCGCGTTTGCAGCCGATCCAGACCCTGCGCCGTTTTACAGTCTCAAATCGTTCTGTCATCATCCGCCAAAAGAAATCGTTCTCAGCCTGTGAATTCGGCACGACAAGGTGGCTTTGTTTAATGTCGCAGAACTTTGAGGCATCTGCCCAGCTCATACGATCGAAGAACATCGCGTAGCATGACTGATGCCAGTTCTTCCAGCCCGGAGGGCAGAGAGCCGACAAGGTCGAAAAACCTCCCAAGGCGAACAGAAACACAACCAAAATATCACGAAGAGCTGCCATTTCTTTAGGATGTTAAATAGAGCAAAACCATACAGTTGAATCGCTTACAGGGGAATTAACTCCTACTTCAATGCAGCGATTTGATTGTCTTAACAATGCCAATAGTACTGTAGACAGTGGTATTATGATCGTTAAACTGACTTTTTCTTATACCCAGCTTGGCTTGACGGTATAGGGCTCACACTCAGATTAAAAGTCGCCGAAGAGGTTAGTCTATTAAGCTGTTTCGTGTACGTGGTGCAGTTTGTAAGTGTCGGCTTGCTGAGCGAAGGCCTGCCTCGACCGTAAAATTATTTCATATATTGCTGTTTACCTAATGCTCTAATTAAAGTCCGAGCGGGTAGTTTTCACAATAAATAGTCTCGAATCGGAGTACTTCAGCTGTGCTCGGTTTCTGATGTGTTTCTTTGATTGGTGGTTTCTCTGATTGCGCAGAACGGAAGCCCGTCATAAGCGATGGATATTTTGTTTTATTGGTGTTCACAACAAGACCAGCAATTAGAGACACCACTTTCAAATTATGTTTATACTGGTTTCTTTTCGTCGTTCTGTGTGTTTCCAATATAGTGTGGCCCTCAAAGCCGCCATGAAACCTGGACTTTATTTACAGATGGTTTCGATTGTCGTTTCCCTACCCAACGATCAGATTTAACGATTGGTTATTTTCTTTGCTATCTCATTGTCATCTGACTCGGTGCTTTTTATTTGTGATGATAACCGTCTGTTTTCTTGTGCGGGATGTTGATAACAATGTCTTAATTGCAAGCAGCGTAATCAAAGTTCTCGTCAAGAGCTTTGAATTTTGGTTAAACAAGCTACAGCGATGCTATCTCGTACGTCTGTGCTCGGAAACTAGATGAATTTCGAAGTCACTCCGCGAAGTAGATTTAATGAAAAGCTTGAAGTTGTTCATCCATGCCACTACTGCAGGCAAGGGTTCACTTCATGATGGTAGTTGTACTCGCTCAAAGTGAAACGTGTGTTAACCGTATAGATTGATTTAAAACAAAATTCTTAGAGTTTGTAAATGTTTTTATAGTTATAATATAGGAGCAATTCATAACTAATTTTACACAAATGCACTTTCAATTAACAACCGCAAACATGCAAATTGTGAATTAATTTATTTTTTTTACAAGTAACCATATACGACAACACTGAATCCAAATTGTATCGCTTCTCACTACTTTGATAGTAAAATCATTAAAAGGCAGTTTACGAAGGAACTACGGTTGAACAGGCGGCGAGGGGGGGGGGCAATGGATGTTATAGTGGGGGGGGGGCTAATTTTTGTAGCATCCGTGCTGAAGATAGACAAGTTTTTTTCACCGGTCATCCGGCCTCCGTACAACCAAAAGGTGGGGGGGGGGGGGCTGGACACCATCTTTCTTGACACCATCAGTAAAGTATTAATGATGATTAAGCGCAGTTTAATCGGGTTTATGGACGCGCGGACACCTCGACAATTTTCGAGAAGATCCTGATGTGGTTGTTTACGATTACGTCACACGCCGAACGCGTGAATACCTGGCGGTCATTGGTGCAAAGTTTCCCGCTACATGTAGATAGCACGCAATAACTTGGCGTCGCGCCATTCTTGCTTCCACCACTGACCAGAGAAAAGGCAATTTTTGCCGATGAAATTTAACCCACCACCACCCCATTTATAGCCACCTTTCGTTTTTTTTGTTCTCCCCTTTTCTTCTCTCTTTTGAGTTCAGAAGCTCCGCTTTCTTGTACTTGTTTGACGTGCTTTCCCCACACAAACACTGGGTCTATCTGTCTATCACCGCAATTGTCTCAGCTTATTCCGGGAAATGTTATATAATTATATGAAACAGTTATATATTGTGTTCCGAATTTTTAACAAGGTTATATTTAATTATGTAATATTAATATTGTGATTTTTCTGGTACTTAAAAGGAAGTTTGTAATTGTCTGTAAACTGAAAGGAAATTATATGTATGTACTATTTAGTTAAATTTCAAACGTCTTGAATCTGAGTGGGAAGTAGTATTACTGTGTTAATGTTTTGTGGCAATTATGCTTTATGTAATATTGCCATGGAATTTATTAATCTACATACAAATGCAAATATTGAATTAAATATATAACATAAATAATATACAATATTTTACATTGTAAATTAAATATTAAGAACTCCTGAACCCCAAATGGAGATTGGTTGTTTGAGTTAGATGAATATTCATTTTGAGTTCGAGTAACGCAAATCCATAAAGATATTTATTTAATGCAATATTTCAATCAATTACAATAATCTTTCAACAACACTTTTATGCAGTAATCGGCTCAACACAAGAAAGTCTTTATCTTAAGAAACACGATTTCTGACGAAACGTTTCTTTGAAAAGTTTTAAAACACATTTTTGTAAGACAAAATCAAGAGGGAACAATTCCACAATCCTTTAATGTACTTTTTGTCAGAGTATCTCGAATTAAACTTGATTCGGGCTGTTTCTAAAATCTTTTAATTATTTTATCAAAACACTTTTGCTATGAGAAAACCCGTGAGTCACAATTAAAACGTTCTGTTAGAGGGCAGTTGAAATTGTATCATCAATCTATTTGAAAAGTGATGCGATCAAGCTATAAGCTAAATGAGTCGTTTGTCGGGAATGTTTATTTGGAGATAAAAGCAAAAATAGGGCCGGCTTCATCACATCACTTCATCACATCTCTTGGTGTTCCGACTTCCATAATTTTTGAACTAAAGATGGTATCAGCATGCGGTTTTCACAGCAGAAATGCTGAGATTGTGCTCTTTTGAAATCTGTAATAAAACAAATCTGACCAGGGTTGACAAACGACTCATGTAGCTTGATCGCAAAATCTTAAATATTGTTTACAAATTAAGTGGTCACAGACAACAAAGTCACCATCCCTAGCATTAAAGGCATATAGGATCGCTTGCGTTTCATGCATTTTGTTCGTTTCCAATAATACCACTTAAAATCCAAAGAAGAATGCTCAAAATACAACCTGTTGAAAGAGGATGTGGAATGCTCGAAGACATTTCCGTCATTTTTCGGGTATATGTAGCCTAAGGTGTGATGAAATAAAAACGACTATTGTTTCTGTCATGAAATGAGTACAAAAGGTACTTTTGAGAGCTGTTTTTCAGGTCCAGTTTCGACCCGAACGTGCAACTGTGTAAATGTCGTCGTTGCGGGCAGCAAACAAAACACAGTAAATCGTGACGTAATAAACAGGACTCCCGATGCACAGTAGCATACACGAGTCCTGTTTATTACGTCACGATTTACTGTGTTTTGTTTGCTGCCCGCAACGACGACTTTTACACAGTTGCACGTTCGGGTCGAAACTGGACCTGAAAAACAGCTCTCAAAAGTACCTTTTGTACTCATTTCATGACAGAAACAATAGTCGTTTTTATTTCATCACACCTTAGGCTACATATACCCGAAAAATGACGGAAATGTCTTCGAGCATTCCACAACCTCTTGAAGTTTCAGCTCATTGGACAGTACACTTTTCGAGAAAACAGTGAAAAATCATGCACAACCTTTTGATTGTGCCCTCTTTATTTCCAAAGTTCACTCAATCACGGATCCTACACACAGGGATTAACGACTCGGCCCAACTCCTGGTTGGACGCATGATAACGGCCCCTACTAGTGGCAAATACCATGAATACTTTTCAACAAAGACCACTGCGCACGGTGGCTTTCAGATTTGCAAGGCTCTGCGCCCGATCTGGCGTCGAAGTCCGTCAAGCCAGCGAATCATATTTTTGAATATTCATGAGTCTACGTTTTGGTCTTTATTATTGAATTCTGATCAGTGATAACTACATAACCATGGTAATGCCGAGCACAATATCTTTAGCTTTCAGATGAAAAATGAAATGTCGCTTTGTTTTATCGGTTCGGCATCACATCTCTCTAAAAAAATTTAATAAAAGCCTAATTAAAAGCGAAATTTTGGTAAACAGTGTTCTCGAAATTTGACGTTTATTTCCCGGGTTAATACTTCATCTATGACGACAAAAATACCGTCTGTTATATCCTAAAGTATTTATTTTAAAAATAATTTGGAACAATTTTATCTTAAATAAGAAGTAGTTTTGCTTACAGTTTTATGAATTTTTCCGTTTTAGATGTCATGCAAAAACCCAACACAATGGCACATCTGGAAAATTCGCGATTACAAGCCAACGGGTATAAATGCCCGTTATCACGCGTCTAACCAATTAAGGCAAGTCCACTGAGTGCATTTTGTACTAGAGCTCAGAACAGTCGTTTATCCTGGTGTCTAAGATCCGTGACTCAATTGACTGATCGTTGGAAATCACCTACATTTCTTGATTTCTTCAAAGTAATAGCAGGCCAGACGGAATCGTTTAACAGGGTGTTTTGTAAAGTATATAATCCGTGAAAGCTTTATGGGAATAACAGTTCGGTAGGTTACTTTTGGGACTAGTGCAGGTGATCCGATATACCTTTAAGTATCCATCCATTACCTTCAGAAACTCCAGCAATAATTCCAAACCTAAGTCAGCAATAATTTGCAGTTTCAATCATGAAAAATGTCAAACTAAATATACTCAACCATGCGGCAGTACGAGGATCTCAACCCATTTTTTCCTACTTTTTTTTTACAATTTTTGATTACCACAAAAACGGCTTAAATAATGTTTTAACTACGCACAGTTATCCTTAGTAGACGAAAAACTCCTAGTTAGATTTGACTAGAAAACAGTCCAACTTGCACCCAGCTGAGTACAGCAAGGGTCAGCTGGGTGGAACTTTGAGTGATTCCTAGTCAAATTTAACTAGAGTGTTTTTTATTCTAGATATGACGCACAATGTTCTATGTTTGACATGCAGGTCGTAAAAGCAAACTGTTCATATTAAATTTATTGCAATTGAGTGAGTCACCAAAATTGAATCCACACTTAGTCTAAGTTCATTGTTAAACATTACAAGAATATCTTAAATATGAATCATTAAAGCAAAATTTACTCATTTATTATTTATCATAAAAAGTGATGTCGTGATTAAAGTTTAATTGTAGGCTATTCGAAATTTAAATGTAAAGAATCACAATCGAATCATCAATATAACTTTAGGTCAAATACTTTTTTCTGATGTGAATATATCAATCGAGTAAATTTAATGAAAATCTTCTACTTTTCGAGTGCGACAACCACAACTCTAAAGGATAATACATCGAGAAAACTATAATACAATGACTTTGTGGAAACAAAATAACTATCTAATTACATATCTTCCTTTTTGGACATTTTTTTCTCTCAAATATACAGTAAACTAAATAGATACATGGGGAGGAATGCTGTTTTTTTTCTGTAACCCACCGCATGAAATTCCCTGCTTTGCTACTGTCTTGTTTTGATCAAAATGAAGACTAAGTATCAACAGATTTAATTATTTAGTCACATACAATTTGCCAAGAACTTTTTAGCAACGCTTGCATTGTCCAATGTAAACATAGTATCAATAATTATAAGGACCGTCACTCGTAACTTTGACCCATTCGTAATTTGGGATGTTTGATTTTGTTGTAAAATGTTGACGACAAACATATTAATACGAATCTAGTTATTTGGCCTACCTTCAAAATGGAGCCCAGGTTCCTTAAGACATCACATCGCAGTTGTCGATGTTTCAAATGGAGTCTCATGAGGTCTCAAGTTTCTCTAGATTTTATTTTCATAATTGCAATTTGATGTCAGAATCAGTAACCTGCAACCGACAGGCGTTTAAATGTTCATTGGGAACGAGTTACGTCGTGATACAGAATGTCGCCAATTCAAGTAGTATTTACACCCTTTTTTGTGTCTGTGTTGGTATATTATTCACTTGATGTCCCATCTCGCTAGATTGGCCTCCTTAAACTTAAACACGGTAGTCATCCACGAAGTGTCCGTTTGCATTGGCCTTCAAGCAGTGCACGCGAGGAGTATTCGGCATCTCGCAGACGACATACTTGTAGTAGGACGGCCGAGCGCAATTGTTAGTTTTCCATGTTCCGAGGCCCTTCGACATCACTACGCACCGAGGAGCTCCTTGTTCGGGATAACCCGGTGCCCAGTTGGTGAAGCTCATTCCCTCGGTGTTCCCAGCGCATTCAAAGCTCGAATCAGCAGACTCGCGTTTGCAGCCGATCCAGACCCCGCGTCTTTTTACAGTCTCCATCGCCAGCACCATCCGCCACAAGAATTCGATCTCGGCCTGTGAGTTCGGCACGGCAAGGTGGCTTCGTTTACTGTCGCAAAATTTAAAAGCATCGACCCAGCTCGAAGGACTGTCGTAGTACATCGCGAAGCATGACAGATGCCAGTTTTTCCAGCCCGGAGGGCAGAGAGCTGACAAGGTCGAAAAGCCTCCCAAGGCGAACAGAAATACAACCAAAATATCACGAAGAGCTGCCATTCTGAGCTGGTTCTTTCTCATACCAAGTAGTTATACCAAGCAGCTAGTTATATACCAGGTAGCTTGAAGTTGAAACACACATGCAGACAAATTCAACGTTGCCAGCTTGAGAGGTTAGTCCAAGCTGTTTCGTGATGTACGTGGTTCAGTTGGCAAGTGTCGGCTTGTTTTTAAGAGTCTTGCATCGGAGTACTTCAGCAAATTACCTTCGCATTGTTCGCGGTTTCTGCATGTGTTTCTTGATTGCGCAAAACGGAAGCCCGTGTATCCGTTACCTTGACTGGGGTTTTGAGCACTCTCCAGCTCAAAGTAGGCCTAAAGCAATTCTAATTGGTACACAATACGATGACTTCGAGGATCAATCTTCACGGCAAGTCCTTAACAAAGCGCCCGTTTTCGTCGGCTGTCAGGCAGTGTACGCGAGGAGTGTTCGGCATCTCGCAGACGACGTACCTCTCTTTGTTTGCCATGCAGTTGCTACTTCTCCATGTTCCGTTGCCTCCCTTCCACAACACGACGCACTGACGAGCTTCTTGTTTGGGACAACCCGGGGCCCAGTTGGTGAAGCTCATACCCTTAGTATTCCCGGAGCAAACGAAGCTTACGTAAACGGACTCACGTTTGCAGCCGATCCAAACCCCGCGTTTTTCCGCGGTCTGAAATCGTTCCATAACCATCTGCCGTAAGAAATCGTTCTCGGCCTGTGAATTTGGCACGACAAGGTGGCCTTTTTTACTCTCGCAGAATTTTGAAGCATCTGCCCAGCTTGAAGTACGATGTGAGTACATCGCGTAGCATGACTGATGCCAGTCCTTCCAGCCCGGAGGGCAGAGAGCTGACGAGGTCGAAAAACCTCCCCAGACGAACAGAAATACAACCAAAATATCACGAAGAGCTGCCATTCTGAGCTGGTTCTTTCTCATACCAAGTAGTTATACCAAGCAGCTAGTTATGTACCAGGTAGCTTGAAGTTGAAACACACATGCAGACAAATTCAACGTTGCCAGCTAGAGAGGTTAGTCCAAGCTGTTTCGTGATGTACGTGGTTCAGTTGGCAAGTGTCGGCTAATTTTTAAGAGTCTTGCATCGGAGTACTTCAGCAAATTACCTTCGCATTGTTCGCGGTTTCTGCATGTGTTTCTTGATTGCGCAAAACGGAAGCGCGTCACAGAAGCGATGGAATTGTTTTCGTGTCCACAACAAGACCAGCAATTAGACACACCACTTTGAAACGTGTTGATATTGATTTGTTTTCGTCCATCTGAGTTGGTGGCCATATTGCTTGGTCATTAGGGCCGCCATGAAACCTTGATTTTATTTACAGTTGGCGTCGATGCTCGTTCACACACCCCCAACAATCAGATTCGGTGATTGGTCCAATGCAAAGCTATTCCTCTGTCATCCGACTCGGTGCTTTCACGGTAATAAGCCATCAATAATAACAAATTTGACATGCGCAGCGGTGTATCGGGGGGGGGGGGGAGGAGGAGGGGGGGGAGTCGCACCCCACGCCCCCATTAGAGTTTTTTTTTTTTTTAATCAAATTCAGGATCTTGATTGGAACTGCACCAACTGAGTTTGGATCGTGGTTTCACAAACTGGGGATGATTATAAAAACTCCATTCGTCAATCGCTTTCTTATGTGATGTTCAATAGCATTGACGTGTGGCTTATTTCCGTGAGATCAAAATGCCTCCAATGAATTGCCACTTGGCTATATAGCTTCGCCATTAGCTTGAGCACACTTTTTTTTCTTCGCGTCATCCACACGTTATTCTATACATGCATTGACACACAGTTTAACCTTTTAACATACAGATTCAGTCATTTGTACATTGCCAGAATGTATTACATGAGTATACATTAAAATGACAGAAATATTATTGATGTCCCCTAAAGTGGCGCAGTACCTAACGGCTAACGTGATGACGGACTTCGATTGTTTTTGCCTCTAGTTCCTTGCTCGAGCAAAAGTTTTACCCCGAAATTTCACAGTTAGTGAAATGTTAAGCTCTAAACATTCCCGTTCGTAAACGTTGGTTGGTATATCCTTTATTACAATTAGCTAAAGAGCGAAATTTTACTCTGGTGCGATTTTCCGATTGTATTTTGAAGTGGGCAGTGAAGCCTTTAAAAAAGCGCCCAAAAAATAAGAAAATAATGGTTTGAAAAACATTTAGGCCTAGTTATAGAAGAGTGGAGATACTAATGGTTTATCAGAATTTGTCAACCTTAAAGATATTCTTACAAGGTTGACTTGGGAATTGGCCGATTTTGCGCCAAATTTCCCGACGCAACTGTTTTCGAATTTCGGACTCAGTTTCAGGACACTAAACTTGTTCACAAGGAGTTCATCTTCATGCATTAGGTAATAGTAGTAGTATTTAATTGAATGAATTTAAAACTTGTCAACAAAGAGATTTGGCAACACTCATGAGGAAAGTCGAGGAAAAAGTTGAGGCGCACCACTTTGGAAAACTCCACTATTTACATTGTAAAAACAGTGTAATGAATTTACAAAATAATATAAATGCGCAGATAATAATATAATACTGTACGTTATTAGTGCCTACCATTATGCACTCTATAGCCCGGTTCATACTCGGCACGAAAGCGAAAGCGAACGCGAATTTGTGACGTCATGGCAAGTATTCGCGCTGCGAATTCGTAAAAGTTGAACATGTTTCAACTCGGGCGAATTTCGCAGCGAATGTTTCATGACGTCAAATTCGCTTCGCATTCGCTTTCGCATGAAGAATGAACCGGGCTTATCGCAGAACAAGAAGCTTTACTGTTATGATTCTTGGTTTGACTCCTCGCACCTCCAAAATTAACAAAGAATAATTCAGCAAAACTACAACGTTATTCTTCTTGATCATAATATATGCCAAAAATAGTTGGCACGGCTGCCAACGCAGGAATTTATTGCAAGATCTATCATGACGGGATAGACTTGCAGGCCCGATGGCGCCGTTTTGTGTCACGTATCAAGGAACAACTTGCCGCGTAAAATCAGAAGTTCTTCATCTGAGACATGGCAGGAAAAACGATGAATTTTTGCTTCAAGAAGGCCATTGATTTTACATATACCTGAATATCTCTTGGGGGTATGCAGGATGCGAATAGTTTCTGTTCAGAACTCGCATTCAAGGTAGAGAAATAATCAGGTTGAAATTGGTTCAGTCAACGAGACCAGAAAATAATGTATGACTGCGACCACGTGTTTGTCCGATTCAGAACGTATCTATTACGTGTGGTTGTGCGAACTCTCCTGCTCAAACTTCCGCAATCCTCATTGTTACACGAATCGATGACTTCGGAGGATCAATCTTCACGGTAAGTCGTTCACCAAGCGCCCGTTTTCGTCGGCTGTCATGCAGTACATGCGAGGAGCAGTCGGCATCTCGCAGACGACGTTCCTGCCGATCCTTGGTGTGCAACCAACGGATTTCCATTTACCCTCGCCGTCCACGCCGTACAAGGCACAAACCGGAGTTTCTTTATTCTTAGGATTTCCAGGTGCCCAGTTGGTATAGCTCATTCCCTCATTCCCAGCGCACACGAAGCTAGAATCAGCAGACTTGCGCTTGCAGCCGATCCAAACTCCGGCCCCAGAAAGAGACTTGAGTCGTTCCGTCATCATCCGCCAGATGAAATCATTCTCAGGCTGAGAATTGGGCATCACCAGGTGGCTTCCTCTGCTCTCGCAGAACTCAGAAGCGTCCATCCAGCTCACACGGTTGAAGTAGATGGCGTAGCAGGACTGGTTCCAGTTCTTCCAGCCGGGAGGGCAAGCAGATCCTTGTGAGAACGCCCTCTGAAGTATTATGAGATATGCGACGAACTTGTCGTACCGAGATACCATTGTAGTATTGGTTTTGGGATCCAAGAACTTCAAAGCTGTAATACCATTAGAGTTTTGTACTTAAAGATTAATATCAAGTAAATCTCACAGACAAAGCACGAATGTTAGGACATGCCTGCACTCCAGATTTACTTCTGATGTTTTTGCTAGGCTAAAGCTTAGTCAGATGTGTTGCATCGCAATACACAGGTGACGGTTGACGTGTCTGCTCATCATGGAGTGCCACGCGATAATGGCGTCGGCGGGCTCGTAGGTCGCAAGAGGTAAGCCACTAGAGAGAGAGAGAGGTAAAAAAATATAAAGTCCATAGTCAAAGTTATAGTCAACTGTGTTCTTCCAGCATGATGGGTCGGAAAGCAGATGTCCCATGGAGCCTAACTACACGATGGAAATGAAGTAATTAAGTCATTAAAATTGCTGTTATTTGCCCTCGCTTAACGAGTTTTTATGAGGAGGGACCGTTGATGATTGAGGCGATGGAAACAATATTGAGGTATCTCTTTCTGCAACAGGTTGTCTGTTCTTTGCTTGTTAGGCCTTCTTTTTTATGAAAAAAATACCATTATTAAAAGAACTCTTTTTATATTTAATCACTTTTTCATTAGACTATATCAATATGGTATTAGATTGATTGATTTAAAAAAAAAAAAAGGATTCTATTTTTTTACATCCAATAGATGTTCTGGGTAGTATAGAACAGATGTTCAGTAGCCTGCAAGACCAGTTCTCCATGTACGAAACAGTGCAGTGTTTTATAAATTTGAAAAAGAAAACTACAGAATCAACCTTTGCCGAAGTCATCAGTGGGAATTTCAAATGCAATTTCTGCTTTGAAAGACATTAGGGGATTCCTAATGGGTCATGGTAATGAGACACTCAGCCGTTTCAGTCCAACTCTAAACCCCAGGGGCACATCAATTTGTATGGAGTACTTGCCGTTGTCTCTTGTGACTTTTCTCTTCTCGATCATTAACATGCAGGAAAAGAGCTGTCTCGTTTGTTGCCAGCGGTTAGTTGTAGATGGAAGGAAGTTCAACAGGTGAACAAGAAACGACAAAATAATCTACGTGGTCAGATTGTTTCCCCAGCAAAGGGGAAAGGGAGAGAGATAGCCTGTTTCCCAGCCCCTCTAAATATATGGGGACCGGTAGCTATACCTCCAATTTAAAGCCATTGATTGGATTACCGCAGCGCGCGCGCATCATTTTGAATCGTTGTGCGTGGACAATACTTGATCTGGTACACCGCCCCCTCTGGAGACATGCACACAATAGGGAACATTAAAAGAGGGCAATTTCTATAGGTGAATACGTTTCCACAAGGCTTTCACGAAATAGATTTCTGGATTTTACTCAAAAACTAGGAATTTCCAAGGTATGTTGGTCGCAAATGGTAGAGTTTTAGAAAAGGGATATTAAGTTCGCATATAATTTGCACACAGTAGGAGGATATGGCGTGTCAAACGTTGCAATATTCAATATTTTGCAATATATATGTTGGATGTTCAATATGTGTTTGTTATCTTTTACATTTATGTGCGATGTTCAATTTAAGTGTGCGATGTTTTTCATTATTTGCGCGATGTTTAATATATTTGTGCGGTGTTTTACAATAAAAGTGCGATGTTCAATATATGTGTGCGATGTTTTACAATTATATGCGATTTTCAATTTATATGTGCGATGTTTTTGACGATATATATGTGCGATGTTTTCAATATTATGTTCGATTTTTGCATTAAATGTGCGATGTTTTTCGATACAATTGTGTGTGTTGTTTTACAATATATTTGCGATATTCTCAAATATGTGAGCAATGTTTCACACATATGTTTGACATTTCGAGCTATTTGTATTCGATGTTTCATCGGTATGTTTGCATTCGATCTTTTGCAATATGCATTCGATATTTCCCTTTTCATTCGATGTTTCTTTAAGAGTCTGGCTACTAGACAGCGAAAGTCTGACTATTATGCCTAAAGTCAGTGTATGAGACGTCAGGGGATCGCGTAAAGTAATTAGAGCCAGACCTAAACGGTAAAAACCGGAATTGTGGGTAATTCTTTAAGCATACGCAATGCGTTCATCATTGTTTGGGCAGTACCCCCAGCTGTGCCTGTACTACCCATAGTGTTATGTACATCATCTATGCATTGAGGAATGCATGACACATGGTCTGAGCTCCAAGGCCGATGTGCACCTGTCCCGTTTAATGATCCAGTTACCTGATAATTTGTTAGCATAAGCTGATGTAAAATTGGGCAAAATTAGATGTTTATGAAAAAAAATCAAATTGTAAGGGGTTAACCTTGCATTTTTTTTTGAAAATTGCAGATTGTATGGGGTTAGATGTTTATGAAACATTTCAAATTGTATGGGGTGAACATAGCGAAATTGGGCAAAATCAGATGTTTCCGAAAAATTTCAGATGTAAGGGATTAAGGCCAAAAAAAAGTCTCCGGTTTCTGGTACGCGTGCGCGTCGCCGTAGCCATGCGCGTCGGCAAAATGAAAAAGTTTTTTTTTCAATGAACGATGATGTCTCAAAACCGCCAAACTCACTGGTTTGACTGCTGCAAAATTTTAACGTGTTTTTAGATGGGTTTATGATCGAGAATAAGCTTTATTTGGCCTCTCTGGTCTCCCATGATATTTGCACTAAGTTTAGTCGGGCACCATTTGCAGTCATCAGCCGACATTTGAAGCAAAAAAAAAAAAAGTAAAAAAAAAAAAAAAAGCCGCGTCGCCGCACCACTTTTTGGGCAAGCTCCATACCAGAAACCGGAGACTTTTTTTGGCCTTACCTTGCTTTTTTAGTGAAATTTTGCAAAGTTAGATGTTACGAAAAATTTCAAATTGAAAGGGGTTAACCTCGCATTGTTTTAAAACGAAAATTGGAAAAAACAAATGTTTCTGGAAAATTGCAGATTGTAAGGGGTTAACCTTGCTTTTTGAATAAGATTGGGGAAAATTAGATGTTCATGAAAAAAATTCAAATTGTAAAATTTGGAGCATATTTTACTAAAATTGGGCACAAATCAGATGCTTCTAAAAAATCCAGATGTAAAGTTTCCGCAAAAACAGCTTTTGAAAAAGAGCCCAATGTTGAACTTTATTGAGTCTGAGGTCTATCGAGGGGACGATCCTTATTTCAACTCCCGGAGATTCGCTGACAGTCTCTATTTTTCTTTTTAAGAAAGACGAAATAGCTGAAGAGGGAGGTGAGAATCTATATGTGCCCAGATACAAAGAGTAGAAATCTACGCGTCTGCCTTTTGAAAATACACAATTGCGGTGTTCATTGTTGCGTAATGATCCGCCTAGCACACGACTGTTTTGCCCATTAGGCTGTGTTATGCAGCTTCCTAACAAACCAAACACACTGGGCTCATTATATCGGCTTGTTTTTACCCATTAAGGTAAAGCAAATGGACCCAGAAATCTTCCTGGCGCGTTTGCTCACCTATAAAGACAACTTTTCTCAGTTTAAGGAAAATTCTAAGGTAACGAAATGGCCGAGTGGTTACGATTCGTCGTCCACGGTTAGCGGGGTCCCGGGTTCGAATCCCGCTGGTGTCTTTTTGGTTTTTAACGTATGAGTTCAATTATTCACTATAAGAGATTTAATTTCCCGTCGTAAAGTACCAACAGAACCTTAGCTTAATCGGTAAGCACTGCTGCTGGTACTGTCCGCGAGTTCCAGGTTGGCGCCTTCGTACAGGTTCAGGGCATGTGGTCCACTCGGAGGATCAGGGCTTAGGGGCCGCCCTGTTCCTCCCTTAGCTCTTTGCTTTTACATGGTGCCTGGCCCTCCGGGGTTATATGGATGGATAGGGAAGGAAGTGTGTATTGGTCGGGGACGCCGAGACCCCGGAAGAGAACTAAGGGATCGGCTGGGGCATTGTTATGGCTCAGACCGATCCCTGAAAGCTTGACTAGCACATAACTTTTTGATTTTTTTGACCCTCTATCTTTTATACTTTGGTTTAGTTTGATATCTACAGCTGCTCGGCAGGTATACGGGTAGTATCAAAACTGAAACAAAGGTGTATGTCATAAATCAATGAATATTTCATAATTGACTATAATCAAAACGGAGTTTCGTTTGATCAATTTGACTATCATTATATAATGACGCGATTGACAATTGACGTAAGAAACGCCATAAATTATACCGGGAAAGAATAAAGATGTACATTGTAATATAAATATTATTTATACATCTTTCAAATAACGTGTCTTTAATTGTGAGCATTCCAAACAATTCGCAATAGTAATATAATGGTATATGATAGCACGATCAATGCGTCTCTATTAAATTTAAAAATATAAAATTTAGGCCCCTATGTGTGAAATATTCTTTGATTGACTATGAGCATTCCATACGAATGAGTTAATTCGCAAAATATAGAAACAACAAAAGAGAAAGGAAAAAGAGAAAATTCCTTTACCCTAAAAACTGGAAAAATAATTTGTTTTAAAAAAGTCAAATGGGACACTTCATGTATTAATTTAACACTTTGCAAGGAGTTAGCCTTACATTTAAGCAAAATTGGGAAAAATCAGATGTTTGTGGAAAATTGCAGCTTGTAAGGGGTTAACCTTGCTTTTGTAGTAACATTTGGCAAAATAAGATGTGTATGAAAAATTTCAAATTGTAAGGGGTTAACCTTTCTTTTTTAGTAAAATTGGGAAAATTTAAATGTTTATGAAAAATTTCAGATTGTAAGGGGTTAACTTTGCATTTTTAGCAAAATTTGACAAAATCAGATTTGTATGAAAAATCAAAAATTGTAAGAGGTTAACCTTGCCAAATTAGGGCAAAATCAGATGTTTCTGGCAAATTGCAGATTGAAAGGGGTAAACCTTGCTTTTTAAAGCGAAATTGGGAAAAATCAGATGTTTCTTGAAAATTGAAGATTGAAAGGGGTTAACTTGGCATTTTTAGCATAACTGGGCAATATCAGATTGATATGAAAAATCTCAAATTGTAAGGGGTGAA